AAGGCTGCGGTGGCCAGGAGCGGCCACTGCACTCCAGTCTGGGCGACAGAGTGAGACTCCAACTCAAAAAAATAAAAATAAAAATATAAAAAATAAAAGCATGTATGAGCATCAAAAGTGAAGTAGGTGTAGGAATTCAGGGGCCAGGCATGGTGGCTCATGTCTATAATCTCAGCACTTGGGAGACCAAGGTTAGAGGATTGCTTGAAGCCAGAAGTTTGAGACTTGCTTAGACAGCATGATGACCTCTCATCTTTACGGAAAATCAAAAAAATTAGTGAAATGTGATGCTGCACGCTTGTCCTAGCTTCCCAAGGTAGAGGGTGCGATGAACCATCATTGTGCCACTGTACTCTACCCTAGTTGACAGGGTGAGGCTCCAACTCAACAAAAAATGAAAGGAAAAGATAGAAGGAAGGAAGAAAATTCATAGAAAACTAGCCCTCTCACTCCCTTTTTAAAAAACTTTTTTTAATGGTTTATTACATGCAACTATTTTAATGAATTGATTAAGTATGATTTCAGGTTGTCTAAGGCCAGCTTGTCTCAGCTGAAACTGATTGTTATTAAGAGCTTTGACTTTTCCTTTACAAAGGCCTCTTAGTTCATACTGCACTATTTACTCAGGTTATGGTGACTTTGTTTGTTGAGTCAGAGTCACACTCTGTCACCCAGACTGGAGTGCAGTGGCACACTCACAGCCACTGCAGCCTCGACCTGCTGGACTCAGGCGATCCTTCTGCCTCAGCCATCCAAGTAGCTGGAACCACAGGCATGCGCGGCCACACCCAGCTAATTTTTTGACTTATTGTAAAAGTGAGGTCTTACCATGTTGCTCAGGCTGGTCTGGAACCCCTGAGCTCAGGCAGTCCTCTTGCCTCCACCGCCGCCTCCCAAAGTTATGGAGACTTTCAGTAGATATGAGTTCTAGTGTGTGCTGCTCTTAGGTGAAAGAAGGAACTTTTTATAGACAGTGCATACATAGTACAGGAACATTAAGTGTGAATGTAGAGTGCCCCATGGCCGAATTTAGTGTGGTGATGTACACAGTACTTTCCAATTGTGGTTGAGTTGAAAATTAAAGGAGCATGATACCATTTTAAATTTTAGGATAATATTAATAGCCCTTTTCAGTAACTATACCTATGTCATTTGCCAGCTATTGGATTTCTGTCCCTGTTTGATAAATGTCCCATCTTTGACAGCGTAAAGTAACTAGAGTACTATCACTTAATACTGTGTATGAGAAAATATTGGTGGTATTGTACTACATAGAAATTCAGCATCGTTCACTTCAGGGAATTCTGGAGATTCTTATGAAGTATTTGCCTTTATATATGTAGAGTTCAAACACGTAAATTATGTTAAAGATACTATATATACTCTTTGCTTTGCACCAGTGACATTTGTTTCACGTTTTTCTCTTACTATGAAAACAGTTGTTTGTTACATTTCTGTTCTCCTAAGGAAAATAAACACTCAGAGTACCTTGTATATCATCACTTCATGTCTGATTAAAATATTGGCAGATTTCTCTATTTTAGTGCTTTGTTAAGGTATTTTAAAGTGCAATATTTGAAGGTTCTCTTGTTAAATGCAGGTGGTAGAAAGATGATCAGGAATTGCTAATTTAAGTCAGTCATCTGATAAAAAGAAGTCAAAAACAAGGGGTGAATGGGCTTCTCTTTTTGGTAAATCTGCCATTTGATTTTTTTCTATTTATGAAAGTAATGATCCTTTTCATAGGATAAAACATTAGAATATGAAATTCTAATTTGATTGTTAATTTAAACTGTTTTGTGTAATGTTTTCACTTTGTTTATTTTAATATCTGCACTGAAAATGCTAAAAATAGGGGTGAGAGCACTATTTGAATAAGGAAAACAAAAGGTAGATATAAATGCTATGTGAGTGTGTGCTGGGGCACAGGTAGACTGTGGGAGACTAACCTTTATTAGAGAATAAAAAATGCTATTAGGATGCTATTAATGTTTCATTGCAATAAGTAAACTCAGTCTAGGTTTCAGAAGCTCTTCATAGTTGCCTCGACTTCTTTTTCCGTCTGTATTTTTCACTGGTCTGACATAAGTGAGGCAAATTGGTCTTCTCTAAACTCCTTGATGCGCTTGTGTCCTTCCATACCCCAGAGCTTCAGTTAGACCATTCCTTTTCCCTCCAGAGACCTACTCTTTCCACGATTGCAGATGCTTCTACCCTTCAAAATCCTTCAAGGCATACCATGACATCTTTCCTTCTCACAGCCAGATGTGATCTCTTCTATACTTTTTATGGGAGGGTTGAAGTCTCTCTCTTTTGCCTAGACTGAAGTGCAGTGGCACACTCACGGTCACCACAGCATCGACCTGCTGGGCTCCGGCAATCCTTCTGTCTCAGTCTTCCTCGTAGCTGGAACTGCAGGTGCACGTGCTACTACACCCGGCTAATTTTTGATTTATTGTAGGGATGAGGTCTAGCCAAGTTGCTTAGGCTGGTCTTGAACCTGTGGGCTCAGGCAGTCCACTTGCTTCGGCCTCCCAAAGTGCTGGGATTATAGACGGAGCTATTGGGCCCGGCCTCGTCTATAATTTTAGGACATTTGCTTGCCTCTTCAATAAGTTCCCTCCAGTATCTCACATACTTCCAAATGGTCAAGGATATGTTTACTGTCTTAAGAATCCCCTACAGCCTTGTGGGGACTGTACCATCTCAGAGTGTATGTTTAGTGATTATTTGTTGAATGCATTTTTGTAAAAATGTTAGCATTAGTTGTATTATTTTTATACAGTGAAATTAGTTTCTTCACTCTGGATCAGGTTAATGTACTTGTGAATACAGTAATTATTTTAGAACAGGATTTCCTAGTGGTAGCGTTACTGACACTTTTCAACTGGATAATTCTTTGTTGTACATTGTAGGATGTGTAGTATCAACCTTGGACCTTACTAGATGTCAGTACCACTCCTTCCCTTACCTCACCTCAGTTGTGACAGCCACCATTGTCTCTAGACATTGCCAAATGCCCCCTGGGGTGGCAGAATCATCCCTGGTTAAGAACACTGCTTTAGAAGGAAAAAAAGCATATAGATTACAAGTCTCATCTCAGTTATAGTTTATGTTGTATATATGTTGTTTTTGAAAGGGTGAATTTCAAATACACAAACAAAGAAATGTTTTATAGTTCTTCAAATTTAACCTTGTATAATTTAAGGAAACTGTCAAAGACACTATTAATTCATATAAAACTTTGATGACTTAAGAAAATTGTGTTTTTTGCTGTTTTGTGTATTTTACATTGAATAATGGATTTTATTTGGTGTTTCCTCCAGATTGAAATTAAAATGAAAAAGCCAGAGGCTGTGAGATGGGAAAAGCTAGAGGGGCAAGGAGATGTGCCTAAGCCCAGACAGTTCATAGCAGGTTTGTTTTCTGACTTAGATGAGTTTTTAAATCATATTGTGTTGTATATAGTTGAAATTAAATGGTAATGAGCATTCTTTCTAGTTTCATTGTGTTCCCAGTGTAAGATGCATTGAGTATAATACAGTGCTCTGTAATGAATATAAAGTAGCCTTTCTTATGAAGATTCTAACTTTTTAAACTCTAAGAATACAAATAAATGAATGGCAGTAAAGTCCCAGAGGTAACTGGGATTTACTGTTTGTTTGTTTTTTTTTGAGTTGGAATCTCACTCTGTCACCCAGACTGGAGTGCAATGGCCACTCCCGGCCACCGCAGCCTTGACCTGCTGGGCTCCGGTGATCCTTCCGCCTCAGCCTTCCAAGTAGCTGGAACTACAGGCACACGCTACCATACCCGGTTAATTTTTGATTTGTTATAGAGATGAGGTCTCGTCAAGTTGCCCAGGCAGGTCTCGAACCCGCGGGCTCAGGCAATCCACTCACCTCGGCCTCCCAAAGTGCTGGGATTACAGACTGAGCCACCGAGCCTGGCCGGGATTTATTGTTTATTATGTTAAGTTTATGACATCAGTTGGAAGTTGTTTATTTTTGCTTGTTGACTTTTCCTGTTGTATCTTTTGGGGTTGTAAGTTAATTAGTTTACCCTGCTGATATATTTCCCTCTCCCCCTTTTTTTTATTCCTTTCTATTCCTTCTGCTGATACTGTGAACTCTAACTTCCTGGAGTTTTAGGGCTTCACAGAGTAATGTATCTAGTCCATTTCCCTATATTGCTAATTTAGAGATGGAGACAAACAGGTTTTTCTGTCCCTTAGGAAAAAAGCCTAGGAGAAGAGTAGAAACCTAGGGTTCATTGCATAACCCTTTAAAAGACAACCTGGAGGCTAATTCTAAGCATAGGCAATAAGCAGTTAAGCATTTTTTTAACGGACTAATCTGTAGGACACTCTAAGAACAACAACCCGAGGTTGTATTTTACATCAATAGACTTGTTCATAAATACAATTTTTTTTTTTGATTTATTAGAGGTAATGATCTGATTTGATGACAGAAACAAGCTAATGTTGTGTCTCAAGTACTTTCAGATTTTGATCACTTCATTCTGTAACAGAAAACACATTTCCTTGTGGCTTCTTTTAGAAAACAGCAAGTTTTTTTTAGGTTCTTTTTTTTCTTTTAAGTCAGGGTTTTACTTTGTTGCCCAAACTGGAATGCAGTGGCACAGTCACAGCTCAATGCAGCCTCTAACTCCTCCTGGGCTCAAGCAATCTTCCTACCTGGAAGATTGTAGCTGGAACATAGTGGCTGGGACCATAAGTGTGTGCTACTAAATCTGGCTAATTTTTAAATTTTTTTTGTAGAGACAGAGTCTTGTTACATTGCCCAAGCTGGTTTAGAACTCTTAGGCTCAAGCGATCCTTCCACCCCGGCCTTCCAAAGTGGTGGGTTTACAGGTGTGAACTACCGTACCCAGCAGAAAACGCCAAGTTATTCAGATCATTCATATATCCATGTGTTTATTTATTTGGAAGTAGTTATGAACTCGTAGAAGTTGCAAAAATAAGAGTTCTCATGTACCTTTCACCCAATGATAACATCTTAACTACTCCAATGATTATACTAGTCTATAGTATAAGTGAGTATTTCACTTAATTCTACCAACTTAATTCTCCCTACTTAATTTCACTTAATTCACTTAATTCTCCCTACTTAATAGGCAGCTCTCTGTACTATTCCTCCTATTTTACAGGCTCAGACAAGTTAAGTAACTTGTCCTGGATCAGTTAACAATTCTCACTGTCTAGGACTAAAACCCAGGTCTTCACAATTGGGTCTGGTTCTTCTGCTAACCCCTTATGTGATACTGCTGTTGCTGTCTGTGCAGTTATTTGATATAGTGAATGAGCAAAGAAGTTAGATGACTCATCTCTAAGTATTTCATCTATCATCTCTGGATGTTGAAGTTTTTCTGAGATTAAAGATCAAGATTGGCTGAGCGTGGTGGCTCAAGCCTATAATCCCAGCACTTTGGGAGGCCTAGGCAAGAGGATTGCCTGAGCTTAGGTTCGCCAGCCTGGGTAACTTGGTGAGACCTCATCTCTACAATAAATCAAAAAAATAAGCTGAGTGTGGTGGTGCATGCCTATAGTTTCAGCTACTTGGGAAGCTGAGGCAGAAGAATCACCTGAGCCCAGTAGGTCGAGGCTGCGGTGGCCGTGAGTGTGCCACTGCACTCCAGCCTGGATGATAGAGTAAGACTCTGACTCAAAAAAATAAATAAAATAAAGTTTTTTTGTGTGTTACAGTTACCAAACTTTTTCTAAACTCAACACCTTAGATATTCAAGATGCTGTTCTTCCTGTCCCGTTATGTTTTTGTAAGGAATTAATATTCTTGTCAGATTTCTGTGTACTGCAAGCTGTAGACTGCAGATAAGGGCAGATAAGGGCAAGTCACTTAACCTATTTGGTCCAGCTTTCTTATCTGTAAAATGGAGATTAAAACCTCTGTTCCCATACTTCCTGGGAGTTAGCATTAGGATTAATCAAATCCACGTTTCCCGGGCTCCTAAGTTACCATGGCTTACGTTTTTTGTTTTCTTTGGCTGCTAGTGAAAATTTACAAAGATAGAAGGATTTCTAGTGGACAGAAGATGGGTAGGATTTTCAAAACAATATACTTGCCCTGAGTAGAACTGTGCAGGGTGTTGTTGAGTTTTTTGGTTTTGTTTTGAGGGGAAATGCGCAAGGAGAAGTTGGTTTACAGGTGAAGAGAAAGGATGGGAAAACAGATGAACGTTCAGTAGTTTCTCAACTGTTTGGAAGAAAGGGCTGTGGAGAGGCAATGTTGGAGGTGAAGCATGAAAATTAGTATTAGTGTGTCCTAATACAGTGCTGAAAGGGAAAGTCTGAATCAGGTTTTTTGAAAACTCTGTAGTTGTCTTGTCCAACATTGTGGCTTAAGCGTGTGACTGCACTCCAACCTGGGTGACAGAGTGAGACTCCAACTCAAAAAAAAAATTATTTTTATTTTTAGACTTGTTTGTACTGTCTTGCAACTTTTCTTTCTTTTCCTTTTTTTTTTTTGAGTCGGGTCTCACTCTTGCCCATGCTGGAGTGCAGTGGCATGATCATGGCTCACTACAGCCTTGACCTCCTGGGCTCAAGTGATCCTTCCGCGTCAGCCTCCTGAGTAGCTGGGCCTGTGTGGGCACATACCACCATGTCCAGCTAATTTTTAAATTTTTTTGTAGAGATGAAGTTTCACTATGTTGCCTAGGCTGATCTCGAATTCCTGGGTTCAAACAGTCGTCTTGCCTCAGTCTCCCAAAGTGCTGGGATTACAGGCATGAGCCATTACACCTGGCCACAACTTTTCTGTAAATATAAAAGTTCCTGTGCTTTTCTCACCCAGTTTCCCCAATTAGTAACACGAAGAATCTGCTTTTAAGCTAATTTTTTAATGTATCAAAAGTTTATACTTTGAGTTATTTTGCTCAAAAAAAATTCCCAGATTTTACTTTATGCTGATTCAGTTTTTACAAATGTAAATCTAGTTACTGATACATGTATCAGAAAGACATTTATTGCAAACATGAAATTCAGTAACCTAAAAACTATTGCTAAGGTGTTCTGTATACCATGGTCACAAAGTTGATATATTCTTGACATAATCTAAACATGTAGATTAATCACGTCTGCCTTTGTCACTTCACAGATGTAAAGAACCTATATCCATCATCATCTCATTATACAAGAAATTGGGATAAATTGGTTGGTGAGATCAAAGAAGAGGAAAAGAATGAGAAGTTGGAGGGAGATGCAGCCTTAAACAAATTATTCCAACAGATCTATTCAGATGGTTCTGATGAAGTGAAACGTGCCATGAACAAATCATTTGTAAGAACATGAACTTATTTCCCCCAAATATTATGGGAACATATTTTAGAAGAAAAATTAGGTAATATGAGATCAAATTTGCATATACTATAGCTGTGAGAACTTTTTGAATAGGCTTTGTCGGAATGTTTCTTTCTGCTTTAAACTTAAGAGTAATTGTTGAAGATGTTGAAAACTTGTGGAAAAGATTAAAAAAACAAGGGTTTATTTCAAATAAATATTTTTTATCAATAACTTAGAACTTGGAGGCTAGGAAATACCAAGGTTACAGTGATTGACATGGAGTTAGCTTAGTTGGATTTACCACAGTAACTGAATATGTGTTGGTTGTTTACCTTCTAAAATCTCATGTAGTCTCAGTTAGAGATGAAGAGCATAGAAGGGGACTTCTAGAACACTTTGGTGCACATTAATTATTTATTTTTAAGGTAATTACTCTCTTAAGAAAATTCAGGCTTAAAGAAGATTCGGTATAATACTACCTGAATTAGGCCCCAAGTTCTGGAATTTTAGTGTCAGTTCATCACTGTATAGCTTTGTAGATTATTTTGCTTGAAGATGTAATCATTTGACTCCTACCAGTAGTTCTGGAAATGTCACTCTCTTCTTTTAAGGCATTCATATTTAAAGTAGAAAGCTGAGATTAGCATTAAATAACTTAGTATTTAGGTATTTCACATATATGGAATATGTGGTAACTGGTCGTGATTGTGTTTTTCACTATTGATTAAATTTTTTTTTTTTGTCTAACTTTGTCGCTGAGGCTGGAGTATGGTGGCATGTTCATGGCCATCACAGCCTGACCTGCTGGGCTCAGGCAATTCTTCCACCGTAGTCTTACAAATAGCTGGAACCACAGGCGCACCACACCTGGCTGATTTAAAAAAAAAAAAAAATTTATTGTAGAATCGAGGTCTCACCAGTTTGCCCAGGCTGATCTCAAACCCCTGGACTCAGACAATACTCTCATCTCTGCCTCCCATAGTGCTGGAATTATAGGCGTGAGCCACTGCACCTGGCAAAATGTTTTCTTCATTAAACTTTTACTTTTGAGATAATTATAGATTCACATGCAGTTGTAAGAAATGAGATTACTTGTATCCTTTATGCAGTTTCCTCCAGTGGAAACATGTTGCTAAAACTATAATAAAATATCACAACCATGATATTGATAGTTACAGCTGAGGCGGAAGGATTGCTGGAGCCCAGCAGGTCGAGGTGGCGGTGGCCGGGAGTGTGCCATTGCACTCCAGTCTGGGCGACAGAGTGAGACTCCAATTAAAAAAAAAAAAAAAGATATAGAACATGGCTAGGCACGGTGGCTCATGCCTATAATCCTAGCACTTTGGGAGGCTGAAGTGGGAGGATTGCTTGAGACCAGGAGTTTGAAACTAGTCTGGGCAACATAGCAAGACCCCATCTCTACAAAAAAATTAAAAAATTACCTATGCTTAATGTCATGCACTTGTAGTCCTAGCTACTTGGGAGGCTGAAGTGGGAGGATTGCGTGAGTCAAGGCGTTCAAGGCTGCAGTGAGCTATTATGGTGCCACTACACTCCAGCTTGGGTGACAGAGTGAGACCCTGTCTCTGGGGGATGGGGGAAATACACACACAGACACACACACACACACACACACACAGACACACACACGCAAAATTTGCATAGATTCCAAGTATCCTTCGTGTTGCTGTCTTATAGCTATACTTACCTCTCCACACCCTCATCCCTTAATCCCCAGTGACTACTAATGTGGTGAATCTTTGTCATATATGTAATTTGCAGATACTTCCTTCCAGTCTGTAGTTTTTAATTTAAACAGGGTCTTTCATAGAACTAAAGTATTAAATTTTGATAATGTCCAGTTTATTCATCTTCCTTTTTATTACATATTACATTAAAGTCCATCTTACATTCTGAGTTAATTTTTATGTGAAGTGTAAGGTTTAAGTTGAGATTCCTTTTTTGGGGGGAGGCTAGTATGTTCAGTTGTTCTCACATCATTTTTTGGGAGGCTTCCATTTCTCCATTGAATTGCTTTTGCATTTTTATCAAAAACTAGTTGAGCATTTTCCATTGATCTTTGTGTGTGTTCCTCTGTTCGGCCCACAGTCTTAAGCTATAGCTGTGAAGTCTGAAATTGGGCAGACTCATTCTTTCTACTTTATCCTTTATTTTCAAAATTTTTTTTTAGATTCTGATTCCTTTGTCTTTCAATATAAATTTTAGAATAATTTTGTTTGTATGTACAAATAAATTCTGATAGGAATTGTGTTAAACTGTCTACCAGTTGAAGAGATTGCCATCTTATTGTGTTGGATTTTTCAAAAAATCTTTGAGTTTTTTAATCAGCACTGTGCAATTTTTAACACTTAAGTTCTGTACATATTTTTTTAGGTTTATACCCAAGTATTTAAATCTTTGAGTAATTATAAGTGGTGTCGTATTGGGGTGTTCAAGTGTTTGTTTCTAGTATCTAGACAGATAGTTGATTTTTTTGTTGTATTCTGTCACATTGCTAAACTTGTTCTTTTTTTGGATAGATTTATAATTTTGTAGATAATTATAGAATACTTCTATTTCTTCCTTTCCTGTATGTATGCCTTTTATCTTCTTTCCTTGCTGGATTTCACTGGCTTCAGCACTGTGGCAAAAGTAGTGAGAGTGAATAGACATCCTTACCTTGTTTCCCATTTTAGGGATAAAAGTAGTCTTTTACCATTAAGCGTAATGTTAACTGCAGGTTTTTTTGTAGATGGTCTTTGTCAAGTTATGAAAGTTCTATGAAGATCATTGATAAGTGTTGACTTTTGTCAGATATTTTATCTTTGTTGATTGATACGATTATGTGCTTTTCTTTCCTTAGCCTGTTAATATGGTGATTTTATATGATGAATATGATTGATTTTCAAGTATTTGAGCCAACCCTGTATAAGCCCCACTTTATCATAGTTTATAATTTTTTTTATATATTGCTAATTCTATTCCCTAATATTCTATTAAGGATTTTTATGTCTATATTCATGAGGGATATTGGTCTGTGTGGGTGTTTTTTTTTTTGGAGTGGTACTGTTTTTGTCTGCTTTTGGGCATCAGGATAATACTAACTTCATAAAATAGGAAGTATTCCATCCTCTTCTGTTTTTTGGAAAAGATTGTGTAGAATTGGTGTTCATTTTTCTTTAAGCATTTGGTAGAATTTGTCACTGAGATGATCTAGGCCTGGAGATTTCTTCTTTAGGAGGTATTATGAATTTAGTTACCCTAAAAGCTTTATAGGTCTGTTCAGATTATCTATTTCGTATGGATGACTTATGGTAGTTTGTTGTTTTTGAGAAATTGGTCCATTTTGTCTAAGCTGTCAGTGTTTGTCATATTCCCTTATTATCCTTTTGATGTCTGCAGAGTTTATAGTGATATCTTTTTTATTCACATAATAGTGATTTGTAGCTTCTCTTTTTTTCTTGTTTTGCAACAGCTTTGTCAGTTTTTTTGTTTTTTTCCCTCCCCAAAAAGGAAATAAAGTTCTTTGCTTTATTTTTTGTTTTTTTGTTCTAAATTTCATTTCATTTCAGATTTTTAAAATTATTTTTTTCCTCTACTTGCTCTGTGTGCATTTTGTTCTTTTTTTCTGGGTTCTTAACATGTAAATTTAATTGATTGAACTCTTTCTCTTTTCTGTTGTATGCATTTATGCTAAACATTTCCATATTCACAAGGCCTTAGCCATCTCCCACAGATTTTGATATGGTATGTTTTCATTTTTATTCAGTTTGTTATATGTTTTGATTTTTCTTGAAACTTTGTGGATTATTTAGAGGTCTGTTGTTTAGTTTCCATGTCTTTGGAGATTTTTCTGTTGTCTATTACTGATTTTTAATTTTATCCCATTGTGGTTGGAGACCACTCTGTCTGATTTAAATCATTTTAAGTTTATTGATGTTTGTTTTACTGCCTAGAACTTAGTGTTTCTAAGTACATGTCCCTTGGACACTTGAGAAGAATGTATATTCTGTTGTTGGGTGGAGTGTTCTATAAATGTCCATTTGATTTTGTTGGTTGATGATCTTGTTGAATTATTTGATGAATGTTGAATTATTTGTTGAATTATGCTGATTTTATGTCCTTTTGTTATATCAATTTTTGAGAGAAAGTTTCCAGCTATAGTTATGGATTTGTCTGTTTCTCCTTTCAATTCTGTTAGTTTTTACTTTACATATTTTGCACCCCTGTTCTTGGTGAGTATGCGTTTATAATGGCTATGGCCTCGTGGTAGGTTGACCCTTTTTATCATTATTTGATGTTATTTTCTATCACTTAATTTTCTTTACTCTGATAGTAATACAGCTACTTCGGTTGTCTTTTGGTTAATTTTTGCATGATGTATCTTGTTCCATCTTTTTACTTTCAGCCTGCCTATATATCATTATATTTTTACTTACTTTCTTATGGACAGCATATAATGGGGTCATATTTTTTTATTGAATTTTGTATTTTTTAAATTTTATTTTAGAGTTGTGGGGTATAAGTGAGGATTTACTATGTATATAAGTTGCATGCAGGTGAAGTTTAGGCCTCTAGCAAGCCCTCTCTCCCCCTGATCGTGGACCATTGTGTTGCCACAGCCCCTGGCGCCTCCCTCCCTCTCTCCCTCCCTCCCTCCTTTAGCAATGTCCAGTGTCTGGTGATGCCATGGGGTCCTGTTTTTAAATCTACTTCGGCATTCTCTGTCTTTTAGTATTTGTATTTAGACTATTTGCAGTTAATGTAATTATTGATAAGTTAGGGCTTAAGTCTACCATTTTATTTTTTGTTCTGTTTTGTTTTTCCTGCCTTCCTGTGGATTACTCGAGTGTTTTCTAGAATTTCATTTTTATTTATCTATGGTTTTTTTTAGTGTGTCTTGTTTGATAGCTTTTTAAGTATTGCTCTGGATATGATACTAGATGTAGTATACATAGATTATCATAGTCTACTGGTATTGTCATCTTACCAGTTCAAGTGAAGTGTAGAAAACTCACCTCTCTTTGTGTCCCTTTACCTTCACTCATCTGAAATTGTCTTAACTATTTCCTCAACATACATTTAGAACCACATCAGACCATGTTACAATTTTTACTCAACTGTAAAGCATAATTCAGATAACTCTAGGGGAAAAGGAAACGGTTGAATTTACTCATATTTTTAGTTATTTTTCTTCCTGATATTCCAAGCTCCCATCTTTTATTAAATCTTCTGTTTAAAGACTTTCTTTAGGCATTGTTTTAGAGTAGTTCTGCTGGTGACACATTTTCTGTCTTAGCAAGGATTTCTGTCATAGCAAGGGTTTATGCTGATTAGGGTTTGCTCTGCTTCTTGAGCCCAATTTGAGAAATTTCAGCCATTACTTCATTGAGTAGGTTTTCAGACCAGCCTTCCTTGTCCTCTCCTTCCTAGACCTGATAATACAAATGTTAGATCTTTTGTTATTGTTCCACACATCTCTGGGCTTCTGTTCCTTTTGTTTGTCTTTTTTTCCTCTCTGTCATTCATATAAGGTCATTTATATTGTTCTGTTTTCTAGTTTACCAATTATCCCCTCCATTTTGCTCTTGCTCATCCATTGACTTAATTTCAGTTACTGTGTTTTTAAATTCTAAAACGTTCATTTGGTTCTTTGTATCTTCTGTTTCTTTGAGGAGGCTTTTTCCCCCATGTATTTGAAGTGACTTTGTAACTTCTGTTAAAGCATTTTTACCATGACAGCTTTAAAATTTTTGTCAGAAAATTTTAACATTTGGGTCATGTTAGTGCCAGCATCTTTTTTTTTTTTTTTTTTTGAGTTGGTGTCTCACTCTGTCATACAGGCTGGAGTGTGGTGACACAATCACAACTCACTACAGTTTCTACCTCCTGGGCTCAGGCAAGCCTTCTGCCTCATCCTCCCCCAGGACCTGAGACTATAGGCGCACACCACCATGCTCAGCTAACTTTTTGATTTTTGAAGATACTTGCTATGTTGTCCAGGCTGGTCTTGAACTCCTGGGCTCAAGTGGTCCTCTCACCTCAGCCTCCCAAATTGTTGGGATTACAGCCACCATGCCTGGCCCAGCATCTGTTGATCAGCTTTTTTAACAATTTAATTTAATTTGAGCTCTTTCTGGTTCTTGGTGTTGTCTACCAGTGACAAATGATTTTGAATTGAAACCTGGACATTTTTTTGCATTATATTCTGAGACTCTGAAGCCTGTTTAAATCCTGAGTTTTTGTTGGCTTCTCTGACACCACTCTGATAGTGGGGGAGGGCAGGGTGCTGTCCCTTTATTGTCAGGTGGAGATAGATGACCAGGTACCTTGCTTGGTCTCTGTTGACACTCCAAGGTGTCTTTTTCTTGCTGTTGAGAGTGGGTGGGAGTTCTCTTGCTAGGAATGTGGTGTTCACCGACATGGGCATCAAGGTGAAAGTCATCAAGGTCACCCTCTGATGGCCTGGTGGGAATGGAGCCACAATGTTTTTCTGTGGTGTTAGCTGGAATAGAGGGATTATTATCTAAAAGTTTTCTGTCTTCCTAGACTGTCCTTTCCTGATCCTTTGGCTAGAGAGAGCAGGATTTTATTGGGGGCTTTTTCACTATCACGTCATTTGTTGAGTCCTGAAGTCCTTGGCATAACTATCTTATCTTTACCTTTTAGTCTTTTTACCTTTGCTTTATATGTAATGTCCAGGGTGTTTTCTTAGTGGGAAGAATAGGGAAAAATACAGTTAGTTACTCAGTCTTCCCAGAAGGGGAAGTCAGTCTCACTTTTGACTTTTAAAAGTAAGCTGGACAGAATAGCAGTATGTCAAATAAAAAATGTGTTAAAGAATCTGCATCCATTTTCATATAGAATTGTGATGATTGCAAGCAAAGCGAACCATTGTACTCATAAAACAAGCCATTTGTGTGGCAACATTGACCTGGAACATAACAAGATAGCTTCTGTCCTTGTGGGAATACAAAAGAAACAAATTAGACTTTGTCCTCTGTGATCTTCCTGTCTAATTGTGACACAGGACCAACATGTACAAAATAATCAGAGGGAAATGATAAATTGCCCTGCAGTCTTGTAAGGAGAGAAGGGGGAAACAAGGGGAAGTCAGTGAATACAATCAGCTTATAAACTAAATCTACTTCTTTCAGTTTTATAACTGAAGCTCCTCTTATGGGTAGATCATTATACAGATGTCATATTTAGTTCAGTCATTTTATTTGAGCCCACCATGTGCCAGGCCACTGTACTGAGAACTAGGACATAAATATTAGTTAAATATACTCCTTGCTCTCAACATTTGTTGCAGTCAAGGGTGGAAAACAGATATTAGAAGACAAATCCTTAAATTACAACAGTGCAGTATGATATATGTTATATTAATGGTAGTTTGGCTCATGCAGAAGACAAATTCCATAGTTGAGTCCTGATAAGAGGTCAAAGATGACCTCAGAGAGATGGTGGCATTTTATATTTGGAGAATATCTAAAGATATAAAAAGAACTGAGATGGAGAAGAGCAACCATGCAAAGAAACTCATCTGAAGGAGCTTGGTGCAGAGCATAGGGGACATGGCATTACATTGTAAATAGTAGGGTAACTTTAAATGTTTGCCATAATACACCTGATTATTTTAAAACATTTAGATTTTAATAATTCACACTGTTCTCTTTACTATGATCCAAATCTATGGCTTTTTATCACATTAAAATAACAAATGTCCATACATTTTATTTTTTAATATATTTATGAATATGCTAAGGTTGTTGGAAGTTGGTATATTTGATAAATAACCAGGTCTTCACTGAGACATTGACTTTGTGTACCTGCATATAGGTACCTTGATTTTGTTACCTAATGACAGGGATTTGGTTGGATCCTGTTGCTTGCTGCTCAGAAAGCCAATTGCTGAGACGAGTCTTGCCAGGGAAGAAGGCTTTTTATATAGCAGTCAGGGAGAACAGAAGACTATCTCAAAACTGTGTCTCACTGAAGTCAGGGGTTTTTATAGTGGGGCAGGAATGTAGAAAATAGGAATTGGAGAGGAATAAGGAAGAATAGTTGGTAAACCGGAGGGATCTGGCATCTTTGAATGCAGTGATCTGCTGAGTTTTAATTCCTTGATGCTTTAGGCCTGAGGGTTAGTTTCCTGAGAAAGGAACTCAGATAAGACAAATATAAGTTTCAAACTTGGCCTGTAATCGCAGCGCCTTGGGAGGCCAAGGTGAGTGGATTGCCTGAGCCCGCGGGTTCAAGACCCACCCGGGCAACTTGGCGAGACCTCATCTCTACAATAAATAAAAAATTAGCCGGGCATGGTAGCGCGCGCCTGTAATTCTGGCTGCTTGGAAGGCTGAGGTGAAAGGATCGCCAGAGTCCAGCGGTTTGAGTCTGCAGTGGCTGGGAGCGTGCCACTGCACTGGGAGACAGAGTGAGACTCCAACTCAAAAAAACAAAAAGTTTCAAGCTTTAAGACCAGGATGTCAATTATTACGTTTATTCAAAAAGAAACTGTAACCATTAGTTCTGTGGGGAATTTGGACCTGTTTTAATTTTTAAAATATTTCAGAGTAAACTTGCATGTGTTTGGCACAGAGGGAAGATAATGAATAGACCCAAAGCTCCATTCATCTGGTAATAGAGTTTATTTTGCCTGGTCTTTCTGTCTTCAGCACAAGAAATTACAGTAATCATTTTCTTTGGGAGTCAAGTTTATTTTCATTTGAAGATAGTTTTTCCACATACACCTGTATGCTGATTAGCAGAGTGGAATATGGTGCCTTAATGACAGGATAAGTGAATATGATGCTCTTCCCTAAGTACAGTTTCCTTTTCAGATTTCATGGAACTTGTTAACCTCCCTGGAAAGCCTAAGATTAAATAAAAATATTGTTTTGAATTTATATTGAGCTATATATTTTGTGTGTGTAGTCTATTTATAAAATAAATATCACATTTAGTTTATATTGAGCTATACATGATAGCCTATATTTGGGACTCTATGCTTGGAAAATTTTTTAGAAAAATGTTATATTTTGCATATAGTCCAGAAATTAATCTTTTTTTTTTTTTTTAATTGCAGATGGAGTCTGGTGGTACAGTTTTGAGTACCAACTGGTCTGATGTAGGTAAAAGAAAAGTTGAAATCAATCCTCCTGATGATATGGAATGGAAAAAATACTAAATAAATTAATTTGCTATCACGGTATTACGTATATTCACCTGTTGCCCATTGTGTATTGATATTGCATTCTTGAATTTTGAACACTGAATCTTTTTGAAAGATTATACCTCTTTACCTCCTTGTGCTTTAGAAATTTTCCTTTAAGTATTCTAAGAGTCTGATGAAGAGTGAAGATCACATTTTATCACTTCTGTCCTTAAGGATTTCAGACATGCTAAAGTAAATGAAGTATCATCTGCTACTAGGTAGATTAGTTCTATCTAGTTGTGGGAGTACAGAAATCTTTAATAGCATATTTCTGGTTATTGCCTTATTTTTGATGCAGTATTCTGTTAATAATTTATTAGTGCTGGCAACTTTGAGTGAGCATTGATTTTTCAATTTGTGTTTTATTGCGTTGGCTTTCTAAAACTGCTTTTGAATGGAGTTATGAATACAATTTTTCTATGAAGATGTTTGCTTTATTTACCTTTTTCTTAAGTTTTTAATGAGAACCTTGAAAAATTATATCACAATTCCCATTTAGTTCTTTCTATGGGAAGTATTTGTAATTTGTAATTGCACTGAGATATTTTGGTCCTTACCTTGCAGATTCCTGCATAAAACGTAAATGCCTGAGTTTATTAACATACTGTAGATTTAACTATACTAAGATAATCTGTGAAGCTGGTGCACAGAAGGATCTAGGAAAGCTCAACTTCACTTCTTGCTGCTTTTGCCACAGCAGAATTCCAGAAATTACAGCACTGGTGGGAGTTTTTTGTATGCTTTGTCTTAGAAAATCTCTGTTTCTCACATCCCCATGATTACTTTGGTTTCAGTGGTTTATAGTAGCTGCTGTGAGAGTAAATTAATGTGTATATATTTAGTATTTACTTTGTGCCTAGAGTATGTAGATACCATGAGAGCACAGAAACTAAAAGACATGATTATTAACTTCAAAGAGTTTGTAATGTAGCAGGAAAAAAAATGAACATTCATGAAGGAGTTGTGGAATGGTTGAATGCTAAACTCATAAATAGAATTTTGAGACAGGAAGAAAGTATTCTGTGATTAAAATTCCTTAATCTAAGCTGTTGTAAAGTATAGGCCATGGGTGACCTGTAGATCTGACTTTGTTTACTAACCATAATTTGAGCAACTGTAATGCCTCAGAGGTTGGTCTCTGCTCTGTTAGGTGTCACTAACTTTTTTGTGGCAAGGCACTAGTACTCGATACCATCAGAGCTGAGGGTAGGATGAATGGGAGGCAAATGGGCCATCATTTCAGCCTCCAAAAGATAGCAGTTCAGCTCCTTCTAGTTTTCTGATGTGAGATGTGAGGGAGTTTGCAAGGAAATTGTTGGTGAGGTAATATCAGATAGTGCTCAAACCTGTTGTTACAGCTTGTTGAGTTTTCACTTGTCCTTCTGCCCACTTCTGTCTACAAAGTACTTGTTCTGAAGAGAAAGGCAAAGTTAAAGTTCTTGTTTGGATGGATTTCTATTCTAAAGTTTTCTTCTTAGGGAAACACAATAGTGACTTCCCAATTCTGTGTGTTAAGTTTTCTTAATATCATTAATCCTGAAGTTGTCGGGGGTGGGGGGAGGCTGTTGCTGCAGAGGCCAAGTTGAGGGCCTAGAGCGCTGCACCCGAGACAGGAAACGTTAGAACACCAGCCTATCTCTGTCACTGGGAGCCTTATACTCCTCAGCAGGTTTAGGCCTTCCTATGTTTTGTTTCCTTTGTCTACAGGTAATCTTTAGGGTCTTAGAGTTACAATTAAAAGCCCATGATTCTAAATAAGGAAATAACAGTTTTATCACTTAATAACTTTTTCTTTCTTAAAAATGACTCTATTACAATAGAGGTTCCCCCCCCAAAAAAATTCTAGTACTATTTTTGCTAGTATTTTAAGGGATATGTTATCCAGAATATGTTAGATTTGCTTTGTGTTGTAGGGTTCAGGATTTTGCTGGCTTAAATAGCGTTCCTAATATGCATGACTGAAAGCGTCATAAAATGCACCTGGTGCAAATAACATTAGGTTTATAGATGAAGGGAATTCTGAGAAGTAGGCAAGGTTACCGCCTAAAATACCACTTTAAAATATTGCTTCTGTTTCACTACTGTTTCAGCCTCCAGGAAGTGTTAAAAAAAACTTCGTTCTAAGAGCCTCTTAACTCTGTCGTTATTCTCTTCTGTCTCAATGAAGCTATTAATTGGTCTCTTTTTTCCAGACTCCCATTTTCATTTTTTAAATTTTGGTTATCTAAGTGCTCTATTTAGCCTTTGTTTCTCAGAATGTCCTTTTTTTCCTTAGTGGTTCTTTTCCTTTTTAAGATTAGTCCTGGAATACGTTTTTTTTCCCTGTGATCTTAGAGACTTTATCTGTTCTGATTTCTGTAATAATTTGCTTCTTGATGAATTCCCAGAATTCTCCCACTGTCTTCAAAGAATCTTGAATGGGATAATCTGCTTCTTTGAACTCTGTTACTTTAGATAACTGTACCACAAGTTCTAAGCCTCAAGGTCAGTTTTGGTAATTTCCTCTTATGTCTAAATACCCGTTCTGAGTTGATTGCCAACTAACAAGGTCAGTCTTCAACACGGGCATTTACTACACTCTTTTTTCTCTTCCTTTATATGGAATGGAGAGAGAGGGTAGTTTGCATTAGTAAGTACAGTTTTTCTTTTCTTTTTTCTTTTTTTGAGTTGGAATCTCACTCTGTCGCCCAGACTGGAGTGCAGTGGCCGCTCCCGGCCACCGCAGCCTTGCCTGCTGGGCTCCGGTGATCCTTCTGCCTCAGCCTTCCAAGTACCTGGAACTACAGGTGTGCGCTACCACGCCCGGCTCATTTTTGATTTATGTAGAGATGAGGTCTCGCCAAGTTGCCCAGGTGGGTCTAGAACCCACAGGCTCAGGCAATCCATTCACCTCAGCCTCCCAAAGGCGCGGGATTACAGGCTGAGCCACCAAGCCCGGCTAGTAATTACAGTTTTAAAAACCATTTTCATTTTTTAGATTTGTAATGTTCTCTAGTTGCACAACATTGGGGCATTATTGTTATTATCTGTCTAAGTATGGAACTTCATATATTCTTGGTTAACTGTATAGGACAAGGAAAAACTATTGGACTTATTTTGTGTAAATTTTCTAGATGAGGTTGAAACATTTAAGATGGAAATACATTACTGTGCTATTATGAATAGGTTTTATAAAAATTTTAATTTGATATGATATTTAAATATGTTTTGACTGTTCTTTCCCATTTTACTTTCCTTTTCTCTTTTCCAGTTACCTACATATAGGTAATTGATCTCTGAGATATATTACCAACCCAGAGCAAAATTGCATATTAATTTACCATCTGATCAGCTGAATGCACTTTAATTCCTTTGGGATTGTACCTGTCTGTATCGGTGTGCATCTCTCTGGCTTGTAGACATCACTGTCATTTCCAGAAATAGGTAGAAAATTTCTGGGTGATGTGTTTGTTTTGGTTGGTTTGTTAGTTGCTAGAGCTACTTATACTGTGTAACTAGCTCGGGAGAAGTATACCTGCTGCTTGTAGCCACATAAGAATATGGATTTCACTTATCTCTGCTTAGAGGAGCCAGAGCAGAGAGATGATAAAAGCTAAAAGAACAAAAGACTGGTTTCTGTGCAGGGAAGAGGGTCATATGTTATTTTAAATAAGAGGAATATCTGTTATGATCTGGTTTCCTTTGTCTCCAACTATGAATTTTTTAGTTGTAAGATCATTTTACACACACCAAGAGATTTCATTTTGGGAACTTGTAGTGGGTAGATTAGAAATAATGATTTACCCACAAATGTTTACTCTTTGGGGCCATCTTGATGATTTGTTTCTGAAATTAACTCCTGGCCTCTCTTCCTACCTTAGTAAAGTTCCCCTTCTCCCCCTACCATCAGCTAAAATCTTGCACATTCCTAAACCTTTAATGCAAAAAGTGGTAACTACTGTGTACTATCTTTTTTTTTATGGGACAGGTGGCACTACCTCACTTATTGAAGTAATGATAACTCTTTGCAGTAATGGTACCATCCCATTATTGCAGATCAGAAAGATGAGGTCAAAGTTAAGTTCTTTGCCCAAATTCCCTCTACTAGTAAGTGATGGAATGGATTTTAATCCAGGCCTGTCAGACTCTATGCTTTTGACAACTGTAACTCCCTTATCAAGTGAGTGAGTTGGGTGTGCAATGAATGATTATTACAAATCAGCCATATGAAAATGAAGCAGATTATGTGCAAATTGGAAGAATTAATTCTTGTACATGGACTGGGAAGGTGTATTTCTAAAGATAAAAATATTATCCTCACTTTCCAAGCCTCTTGCCTCTTATAGAAGATAATGCAAACTAGTAGTCTGATTTATGTTGAAGTTGCTATTTTTCTGACATCCAGATTATTACAGAAACAGGATACCTTTAACAGTTGTTGCAGATGTAGGAAGACTGGTATATCGTGCCAAATTCCTGTTTTTCTTTAACTTGGGAGTTCTCATACCAGCTTTCATTGTACAGTTGCCAAGATTTTTCTCAAGGTTTTATTCCTAGAGATGTGTTAGGATTTGTGTATCACTGATTTCAATAAAATTTGAATGAATCAGGTTAACTCCTTTTTCCAAATCATGTTAGTACTATATTCTAAATTTTGACTTACCTGGAGTCTTCTAAATGTTACCTTTGCTGTGCCTTCAAATTTGGATTTTAATTCTTGCTTTTACATTGATACTTCTTTTGCTTGTTTCATTGACCTTATTTTTTTTTTTTACAATTAAAGGATTCAGTTATGTAAAAAGATGCTTCAAAAACAATGCTATATGCCTAAAGGCAATTTTAATTTTATTAGAAGGGAGTTAGAAAAATGGTCTTTAATGCCTGTATGGATTGTTTTTTTTTTCTTTTTTTTTTTGAGTCAGAGTCTCACTCTTGTAATCCAGGCTGGAGTGCAGTGGCACGCTCACAGCCACCACAGCCTTGACCTGTTGGGCTCAGGCGATCCTTCTGCCTCAACCTTCCAAGTAGCTGAAG